GAAATAATTGCATGCATCAGCTTTTCAGGATTGTTAGGATTTGTAAAAGCTGAAACTAAAGTGTATGTCCAAGGTGAAAAATCACGTTTTCTTAATGTGCACGTGACTTGTTATGTCAGATTTTATCCAGGGAGTTATTTACAGTAACAGGTACATCCACATCCATTTTCTTTCTGTCAAAAGACTATAAATTGTGGAGTTTGTTGCTGCACAGTTGTGACAGTGTCATCTGAAAACATAGAAACACACAATGTGCTCTCTAATGATGTCACTGAGGGGCAGCGTGTAGTTTTCTTATCAGCACTTTTGTGCTCAGGACACTTCACTCAGTTTATCTCTGTGTCTGAAGTCTTGAATGTACTAAGCGACATTCGTTTCTGCTTTTATCATGTATCAGCCTCTTTTTTCAAACAAGTATCAGTGTTCATCCAGTTCACAATCACTGTTATAAAGTTGTTTACTGTTATCACAACAATGTCCCTTTTCAGCCCTGAGGAAAACTTGTTCTTTTTTATTTATTCAGAGCTCGATACATTTGGATTTTGTCTGTACGGCATCCTCACGCTCATGTCCTGCATCTCCCTGCTGCTGTACCTGGAGCAGTGCATCTATATTTATAAAAAACTGCCCTACCCCAAGAAGACGACCATCATCTGGATAAATGGTGCAGCACCAGTAAGGATGTGTTGCTAATTCTCTAACCAAGAGAAATATAATCATTACGAACTATTTTATTTGGTGGAGTTGGTTTCAATGAGTGGGATAAGAGGCTTCACAATGTGAAATCTAAAAATGCTAAATCAACAGTAAACTTGAAGATTTGTTTTTTAGGTCATTGCTACCATGGCTTGTTTTGGGATGTGGATCCCCAGGGCAGTCATGTTCACGGACATGACGTCAAACTGGTACGTTTTCTCCACACCACGTAAATGTGTACACATGGCAAAATACTTTTAAGGGTTTCTTTCATTAACATTTCTAAAAGGTTGAAATATGATATTGGTTTTTATCTTATTTAAAGACTGAAAGGCACTCAATGAAGTGCATTATGATGATTCATTAGATCTGAGTTTAACTTTTGGATTAGCACTAAAATGGTATGGGTTCTGTCCTTAATCTTTACTCCTGTGGTTTTTGCGTATTCCTACAAAAAACTATCCAACCAACAAAAAGGGGTGAAAACATAACCTCCTTGGTGGAGGTAATAACCGATGATGAAATGAACTGTATAATCTCTTAAAACTTAAACATGGGTAATTAGAGTTTGGCCAAAGACTTCAAGGTTCCCATCCATCTAACCCCTGAGATACAGTATTACTACTACAAGTATGTCATTGGCACAGTTTAACCACCCGATGACTCATTACATGCAAAGATCAAAGATCATTTCCAGCTAACATGTGCTCAACTTTACTAGAATACAGGAAATCTACATTTCATGTTCCCTGACTGTGACTCCTCACATGTCAGGTGTGATAATAAAATAATAAATAGCACTTGGGAGAGAAGCATGAATATAACATCACAGACCTCTGTTCCTCTCTGTAGTTATTTTGCAGTGGTCGTGTACAAAGTCTTGGTTCTGATGATCGAGGAGTACGGTGGCACTGATGTTTTTCTGAAGAGGTTTTCTGGTAAAACCTTTAGGATCAACACGGGACCCTGCTGCTGCTGCTGTCTCTGTTTACCCCGTGTACCCATGTCACGGTATTTATACAGATACACCCTGAGTATCACTGTTCTGGCTCCAATAACTAAAGTCTGTGTTCCTGAATTGATATTTATTTGGCAACTAAATCCCACTCTCTTATCTATATCCTTCTTCCTATATTGAATAGACATTGTCTTAGGGTTATATACGCATCTAAAGGCGATCTTTCTTTGGTTGGGATCATGCAGGCGAATGTTATTTCTGCTGAAGATGGCTGCTCTTCAGTATGCAATCCTAAAGACAGTGCTGTCTGTCCTCTCCATAATACTGTGGACAAACGGCAACTTTGACCTCTCTGATGTAAGTGTTTCAAACACTTTGCGACCAATCTGGTTACACACACACACATATTTTTTTTAAATAAATAAGAATGGCATAAAATTTAAATATTTCTTTACTTCTTTTTCAGCTGGAGATCACGGGCACAGCTATCTGGATTAACCCATTCATTGGCGTTCTCACAATAACCTCCCTGTGGCCTGTTGCCATCATCTTCATGAACACTAACAGTCATCTACACAAGCTCAACATCATACCCAAGTATGCCATGTACCAAGTGAGTCAAACAATTGTATTTATCCAGCATTTCTTCACACAGCATGAGGAAAACCTACTTTAAAACCTCTAAATGCTACAGATTAAACTCCACTGAGGCCCAACAGTCCCCTTATGAAACCACATTTAAATCTGCTAGATCTGCATTTAGGTTTTTTTTTAGTTCTGCATCAAAATACACACAGTTATAAATATCTGCCCCCTAAACATGTCAGATTTTTTTCCCCATCAAGATCCATGAATGAATCCTTGAGAAATTTGGATTCTGTTAAAGAAAGAAAAAGGAATTCCTGGATCAACCACTCTGTTCAGATTCGTGCCAAAATATTTCTTGGCCCATGTCCCATCCTTCTACAAAATATCATGGAAAATCGTTCAGTAGTTTTTTCATAATCCTGATGACAAACAAACAAAACAACCAACAACAACTAATGTCACTCAGTAGACCACACGGCACCATGGCCCCACAGCTCCCTTAAATTCAATCAAGCTGCACTAAGTTTCCTGATCTCGTAAGGTTAAAGAAATTTTTTCCTGACATTTTCATGTAAAAACCTGTTCAGTTGTTTTGGTGTATTCTTGTTTTCAAGAATCATCAACAATCAAAGAAATGGACAGGAGTGAAAACACATCCTCCTTTGTGGAGGTAAAAATTAAACTAAACGAGAGGATAACTAGCCTCTTCCACAACTAAAACTTTTTCCCTTTTTCAGTTTTTGTACAAAGCAAAAGAAAAAGAGCCACAAGGATTATGGAAAAGGTGGTCTCAAACTAGAACACAACATAATCACTGCAAATATGCACTAGTGTGAGATCTTTGTTTGGTGCCAGAACCTGAAATCCAACAGAAAATGACTGATAATCAGACACAGTGTAATATAATCTACTGCAGCTAACTGATTGGGAATTGTTTTGGTCCTCAGCTAATACTTGTGTTGAGTCAGCTGCAGACGTCAATCATTAACATCCTGGCCTTGAACGGAACCATCCCGTGTTCCCCTCCCTTCTCTTCTCAAGCTTGGGGATCCAGTAAGAATAAAAAAAATCTGTGAATCTCTTTCTGCATCTGCTGCTGGTGTGTGAAGTGAAAAGAAAAAAAGGGTTCATTCTATCTCTTCCTCTCTCTCCCTCTGCCCTGCAGTGCTGAGTCAGCAGATCATGATCGTGGAGATGTTCATCATCACTCTGGTCACTCGGTGTTTGTACCGTCGCACATATGACACACTTCCAACTGAGGTGCATGACAACAACCAGAAGCTGGACACGCTCGTGGAGCATGATGTCTAAGAAAGTACACAGCGTGGGGGCTTTAAATGTCAAGTTGAGACCATTAAACAGTGGAAACTGAGTCTGAGGCTTTAGTTTGACATGACAATAAACCATTTTTGAAAAATGTGCCTTAATTTGCATATTATTTTGGGATGTGATCCTGATTAGCATATTGATTTTCATCATTGCAGATATCAATGGTAACCTTTTGATTAGTAATATCTAAAATCCAATCACTACAGAAGGGAATTCACATATCTTCGGTATATTTTCTCTGTTACAATTTTAGATATCTGAAATGCAGTTTAACGTATCTGAAATATAATTCTAGATATCTCAAAACAGTAGATCTCATATGAACATTGACACCAGTGATAATTGAATTGTTAATGATGAGAATCAAATTATTTAGAATTGAACATCTAAATTACATCATCAATATGTTGGCTTGGAATTTTAATCCTTTTGCTCTCACTGCTCCTGTTTCAATGTTAAAACACAACACTAGAGAACAAAAGACCAAATCTCTTAACATGGCCTGGAAAGACTGTGGGATTTGTTCAAAGGTTGCTGACCCACTTGCTCAGATTTAGTTGGGCCAGGAAATACACGTGGATGAGACAGCAGCTTTATTTTCAGACTCAGTGAATTTTCAGGGCCGTCTGCAGCCAAACTGTGCCATGCTTTGTTTCCAGAGGCACCACAAGAGGCCGCACTCGTTCCACTTGTTCGTCAACCTTTAGCCTGTTCATGAACAAGAGTTGCCTTTACTTGGCTCACGACTACTTTAAAAACACTCACACGGTCCTTAAATGCAGGAAGACAACACTGATATTACAAGAAACAAGCTTTATCTTGACAGATATAATTCAGGCCGACAGTAAAATAAATAATTATTTGTTTGGGCATTAAACGGGTAAAATGTTTTAAAATAGTTGCACAAAATTTGATTTCTTTTTTTGGTTAAACCTATTTAAAATTTGCTATCATTCATTAATTCCTGTTCACATAAAGCAGGAGATTCAAACTAATAGCAACAAGATGCACATGACGGATTTAACTGAATTCACTTTTACTGCCCAAGTATTTATTCCCACAGAATGGCAAATACCTGAAAACAATATGGTACATCAAGCTTTAGATAATGACTTCTATATACACCTTCCCTTCTACTCTTCAAAGTGAAATCTACTGACTCGTTTACTGTTATGTAATCGAATCTCAATGGCTTCATTGTCTGCAGGACTGGTGTTGATTCTGTGAAAATGTTCAAAAGGTCACAGCCTCCAACAACATCTTGATTTTATTATAGAAACACCAACGTTTTCCTGTCACAGGAAGCATTGTAGTTTTTTTAACATTTGTCTGATGGGCATTTAAAATGTTTGTTTCTTTTAAACACACTGATAGTAACATGACAGATTGAAAAAATAAAATTTTGCTCATATGAAGATGTCGGCTGAAACACTAGTGACACTTGATAATAACTATTTATAGAACAGTAGGTTTATGTTTTTTTTAACAGACTGGCATAGGTTATTCTAGGTTGCTCCGACAAAGTCGATGTGAAAATAACACTATTTAGAATAAAATCTAATCTGTTCCACTTCCAGATTAATATGCTGCATATAGACACACACTGCATTAATCTGGATGAGATGTTTATATAAATCCAGATCATTTAGAATTCAAAATTTGGCCATATTAATGGAGTATTTGTCTTTGCTGTTTATGTAAACAGAGTCATCAGACACAGAGGAGGAGAGAGAGAGAGGCAGAGAAAGCTGCGTTCAGGGTGGGTTGATGACAGCCCCTGGCTCTGCATTGCTGACGAAAGCTGCTTAGCTCCTCAGTTGCTATGGCAACCGGGGAGAGCAGCCAGACAAAAAAAAAAAAAACGAGGCAAATGGGAGGGGCTTTCAAGGGAGAAATAGAGGAGAAAGGGCTGGATGGGAAAGATAGAGGGAGAGAGTGATACAGACAACCGATAAAGACACACACCGAGCAGCAGAGATAAAGCAAGGTTACGGACGAAGGAAATAAATGCCCTCTCCACTGGCTGGGGAATAAAAACCGCAGCTAGCGACTGGAGGATACAGAGAAAGGGGGAGGCAGAGAGAAGATGGATGTACAAACGGAGAACATGGACCCCCCGCCTGGTGAATCCCAGCCGAGTGGAAAAATCAGAAAAGGATTCAAGCTGTTTGGCAAACGCAAGCCAGGTAACATCTTTTCTATTCGAAGCAAAGGTGATGGAAACAACAAGTCACCTGTTAACAGTAGCAAAACCCAAGATGGATTACCATACACGGCTGCAGCAGATTTGGAGCCAGAGTCAGACAAGGAAAAAAGACAGGTGAGTCAAGAAGAGAGGGAGCAGGCAGAAGAGGAGCCACTTGGTGTTGAAGATGGCGTTCTGGCTGCAGCCCCTGCTCGCACCTCCATTTCTTCGGCAAGCTCGGCCAAGTCCCTCAGCTTTCTGTCGCTACTGAGGGGTGGCCGGAGAGGAATGGGGGACCGGCGGGTCCACACTGTGTCACAGCCTGTAGGTAGGCAACGTCGTGGGCTGAAGGGTCTCTTTGGCACTGTTAGGTTCCGCTCAAAAGATAAAGAGGACAAGGAGGATACCCCTCCGAGTCCACTATTCATGTCGTCCCGGGCCAACAGCGTGGAAATCATCAAAGAGGACCTCACCCTCACCCCCAAGTTCCAGCCTCGATCACTGGACAGCTCAGAGACAGACAGCTCTGAGCCCATCACAAGCTTGACAACACAGGACAGGGAAGTTACGACCCCGTCAGAGACCATAACCCCCCAGTTGACAGCAGGGAATGTGAATAGAACTGATGAACCTGTCTCTGCACCGCCCCTGGTACCCGGTGATAACAGCCTGAGCACCTTGCTGGCAGACATCTCCTCTCTCCTGACCTTTGACTCTATCTCAGGGGGTGGTGACATCATGGCTGATGTGGAGGCAGAGTGGGGGAAAGCCAGCAATGCCATCAGTGCAGCAGTGAGTGAAGTCACGCCATCATCTGCATCTCTCTTCACCAAACCCACCATCTCCTCTCCGCTGACTTCTACCTCGGTCAGCACAGCTGCTACGGCAAAACCCTGTTTCCCCACAACGGCCTCCAGCCAATCCTTTACTCCTCTGACAAAGACAGCTCCAACCTCCTCACCCATTTCCAAGCCGAGCACAATCATCACAACATTGACCAAATCTTCCACTCTGACAACTCCCTCAGTCAAACTGAGCTCGGATTCTACTTCTGCCTCCAGCGTAATGATTAAATCAACTCCTACACCCACCGCAACAGAACTTTCAAAGACTCCTGTCAGGAGTCCAAGTCTTTCAGCTCCATTGATGTCTTCCTCTTCAATAACAAATAAATCCACAAAGAGCTCCACCACTGCTACAACCACAGCTCCTCTGAACACCCCAGCTACTGTAGTCAAAGCTCCCTCAGTTAGTCCAAAACTTACCTCGACGGCTAGCAAATTGGCTTCAGAACTTGCAGCACCTTCTGCAACTGATTCAGTAAGTAAACCTACCCATGTAGCAACTCCACCTCTTGTATCTGCTAAACCTCCGACAGTAACGCATAGCCCTCCCACCCCTGTAGCTTTCACCCAACCTCTACCTGCTAAATTAGATTCATCTAATGGTCTTAATTGGCAAACTTCTACTTCCTACAAACCTTCCCTTCTAAGTTCCTCTGCAGGAGAAACTAAAGCCCCAGTATCAGCAACCTGTTCTGTTACAACCAAACCCTCCTGTCCATCACCAGTTATCCCCTCCAAGATGACAACAGTTCCTACATCAACTACAACCTCAGGCTTAGTATCTATGGCCATTTCTAAGCCTACACTCACCTCCAGCCCAATGGACCTAAGTAAGACCCCTCCCTCCCTTGTTGCCGTTCCAGATTTTTGTCCTTCTTCTGCCCTGAGTGCCATAACTAAAACTCAAGCTAGCCCTGCATCTGTCCCAACTCCATCATCAAATTCTTTAGATAACATTCCTCCCACAACTAAACCCACTCCTGCACCAATCTCTGTAGATAAGATGCCCCCTGTTCCCAAACTGACTCCAGCCCCTTCTACTCATGCTGTTGTTTGCACAGCATCCCCAACACCTCCTGTTCTGGCTCAGAGCTCTAAAGCTCCTTGTTCACCTGCTCAAATCCCAATTTCTATTTCTAAAGAGCCCTCTGCACCTGCTCAGATCCCAGTTACTGTATTGAAAGACCCTTCTGCTCAGATCCCAGTTTCTGTATTGAAAGACCCTCCTGCTCAGACAACAGTTTCTGTATTCAAAGACCCTCCTGCTCAGATACCAGTTTCTGTATTGAAAGATCCTCCTGCTCAGACACCAGTTTCTGTATTCAAAGATCCTCCTGCTCAGACACCAGTTTCTGTATTCAAAGACTCTCCTGCTCAGATCCCAGTTTCTGTATCTAAAGACCCTCCTGCTCAGACACCAGTTTCTGTATTCAAAGAGCCTCCTGCTCAGATCCCGGTTTCTGTATCTAAAGACCCTCCTGCTCAGACACCAGTTTCTGTATTCAAAGACCCTCCTGCTCAGATCCCAGTTTCTGTATCTAAAGACCCTCCTGCTCAGACACCAGTTTCTGTATCTAAAGACCCTTTGGCTCGGATACCGGTTTCTGTATCTAAAGACCCTCCTTTGCCTGCTCAGATACCAGTTTCTGTATCTAAAGACCCTCCTTTGCCTNGTTTCTGTATCTAAAGACCCTCCTTTGCCTGCTCAGATACCAGTTTCTGTATCTAAAGACCCTCCTTTGCCTTCTAAAACCTCTCAATCTAAGCCCTTTTCTGCTCCTACCCCTGCCCCTTACCCTGTCAGTCCTCTTCCCTCTGCCTCTGCACCTTGGCCAAGTGAAGCCCCAAGCTCTGCTAAGATGACAGGAAGTGGACAGGTATCAGCAGATTGCCAAATGGTTAATCCAAATAGCACAGGTATCCTGGGGGCCCAGACCAGGCCTTCCAAAACAGAGGAACTGCATAGTGAGTCACGAACAAACCTCCAAGGCCCCTGCAGAGAAAAGAAGACACCACAAGTGAAGGCATCAGGGCTTAGCAAAATACCTGTTGTTGGAGGGGGCAGAGCAGGCAAGCTACCTGTGCGGGACAGCCAACAGTTTGATGATGAAGCAAGCAGAGACCCACCTACTCCAGAATATGAGAGACCCCACTTCAACTCACATGATACAGCAAGGAGCAAAGATAAAATCAGTGATATTGAGGCGAATGTGCCAGCTTTTAAACACACCCTGGAGGAGAATCAGCATCCTCCCCAGCAAAAGGTCCTCATCAGTTTACAACGTGACTCGAAGATCCCTGTGAAGCATGGTGCACAGTCTCACACTGCCTCCCAAATCCCTCAAGCTAAAGAACCCCCTCGCTCCAAGATACCAACATCCAAAGTTCCTGTCCGCAGGGTTGGCAATAAACCTGCAGCTGCAGGAGGCAGCACCCACGCAAGAAAATAAACAATGGACTGAACCAACCAAGGATACCGATTAAGGCTTTGACTGCAACTTTTTTCCAATCAAACTACATGACCACCCTTTTTTTAATTTCATATTTCTATACTGTAATTCTTGGCTTGCCATCTCTTGGCGTCACAATACCATAAGAAACAATAACATAATCAAGGACGCTGACAGCACTCAAGCACAAAACATCTCCACATGGCGCTCAGGCAAATAGCCTGGCTCATTGGTGCTGAGCCAAATGGACATGCACTCAGGAAAGGTTCAGGGTCACACCTGGACACACAGCAGCATTGGCAAATAAGGAGAAGCAGGATTAAAGATCCTCTGGGAACAGTCACACATTCATAACATGGGCGAGTGCCTTTCTATGGGTGCTTTTCCTACAGACTCTCAGAATTGATCCAGTCTTTTCTACAGTACTTTTAACTTTTGTTACTCCCACTTTTTGTAGGAACTTTCAAATGTTTTTTGTCTTTTCTTTCCAGCAAGTCTCTTTGATAACAACCAGACCCTTTAGCTTTTATTTATGTCAGGGGAATAACAGCAGGAGCTCTATAAATAAATGCAGCGACCAAATTTACATTCCACACTTATCCCTGGATGTTATGTAGCAGAAAACGTGCCATTCATTTTTGCACAAGATGTTGAAATGTACAGTGCTTTTGTGTCAGCCGGCTCATATGTAACTTGGATTAGATCTCACTGTGAACTATGGGAGAGACTGTGGTTGGAGGGAGGAGAGGTGGATAACTCCTTCCAGTAAAACGGACAGGAGCCATTATGAATGGCACTGCTGAAAGAGACAGAGAGGATGCTGGGATGAGATCTCCAGCTCATACACTGACACATCCATATCCTTATCCACTTATACTATAAGATGAGAACAATATCTGTGTGTATAGTCTCATCTATGTTGTTCTGTTTCCTATTTAATCAATAAAACAATATGAGTACTTCGCAAGATGAGATCTGTTTAAGTTGTGAATGATATTCTGTATTTTATAATGTGCAAGTTTGCAGACAGATAAGAGATTGGGACAATTTATTGGTTCTGGTAGAAAGTTACATAACTATGTCGTCTAGAGAAAGGTTAAGGATCAGAAAGAATGCATGTTAAAAAAAAAAGTGTTTATATTTCGCAGACAAATTCCCACAGAGGCTCAGCATCTTACTACAGCCTGGGCTCAGAGTGCCCTCATAGGAACATCACTGCAGCATCATTCGCACTCCAAGCTCACTGACCTGAATAGAGAGCACATGAATGTCAGCAGAGCAAAGCCAATCAGCTGCGAGGGAAAACGCTTAACATGCATACCTTATTATCAGGAAAATGGTTAGGGAATGTGTGTCATTGCTATTCTTAGTGTGAAACGCACCCATTGGATGTGATGAATAATTCCCCTCGGACTGAGTGGATCGTTTGATTTGGACATTTAGAACGAGCTTGATATCACTGCAGTCCAGGATAAAATGTGAAACATAGAGACTATTGATTATGTTGCAAAAAGACAGAACAAGTAGAAGACATTTAAAAGCAACACTTAAAGCTACTAGAGTGGAGCTGAAGACCTCATATTGAGCATGAGAAGCTGGTCTCGGTCATGGGGTTAGAAGAATCTGGGAAGAAGTTAAGGACAAAAGGTGATTTTTTTTCTTTTTACAAAAAAAAAAGCATTGCGGAGGTGACACAAAAAGACCTCTGTATACTTCAGGAAGCCAGAGGCTGTGAGCTGAGAAGAGAAGACCATAATTTACCCGAGAAAAACACGAGGATTTCACCACATCAGGTGCTGATAAAGCCCACAGAGGGCCAAACCATCTCCCTGAGAAAAGAACAGTTTAGCCCTGAGGCTCCGACAACAGCAACACATGGTTGCTTTTTGGTAACACCTGTGATTCAGGGTTAAAAAGCGGCCTTAAGAGCATGCAGATTTATAATCATGCCTGTAAGGGCAGAGATCAGGCTACTTATGGGGGCTCCAATTGTGTCACAGTGTGATAAATTACATTATGCTGTGGTTTCAGTAAACCATTGCTATAAATGATTCCTGCAGTTTTAAAAAGGGAAATGAAACAAGCACAATCTGTGAATGCTGCCTTTTGTCAACGTTCACATTCACATGATATTCCAGCGATGTGGCTTTCATGCTTGTAAGTGATAGTGACAACAGCCTTAAGTGAAGTTAAACCAAGGAACATGTGGAATTAAACTTCAGAGATATATTGCATAAGCAGTCTCAGTCTGTTTAGAGGTTGTTTGTGAGTTTCCCTGCAAACACTGTGGCTCTGTGTTGAAGACAAGGCCCCTCGCTCCAAAACATAGTTGCACATTATGGTTATCACAGCACCCATAATGCACTGAGGCCACCCCAGCTTTCTGTGATCTGTACGTGTTTATGTCTGCTTCAGCCTCTGGAGAGACGTGCCTCTTTAGAACCTAATTTAGCATGCTTCATTCTAGTGTTTCCATGCCAACCCCACTAGGTCAACCAATCAAAGGCTGCCAGTTTGTAGAGGAGGAGTTTGGGAGCATGAGTGCCCTAATGAGCACAAGCACGGTATACATGCTAATAAGACACCCAGTCATTAGTTCACACAGTTTTAATGTGAATTACTGAGTTGCAGCATTTTCATGTATTATTATTATGCGTTACTTTAATTTTGAGGCATTTTTTGCATGTTATTATATTTATATAAAATATTTTTCTGGTTAGATGATGAACCACCCTCCCCCATGAGCCACAGCCGCCTTAACTCCACCCTAACTGATAACTTAACAGTTCCAAGTCATTTTCCATGAGGAAATATTTCAACATCTCAATATGAAAAACTGTTGTTGCTGCATTTATCTCAGGCTACATTTCATATAGAACAGGTGACTTATTTCTCAGAGAATAATTCACAGATCTTGATGTGTGGGAAATTTGGTGCAGATCCAAATAAAAATCCAGTGATCTAGTGAATTTAATTTTGGTTTCTTACTGTTAGGCCTTGACGGTGGCAGTAATAATATTCTTATAATATAATATATAATAATATAATATTTTCAGAGAAACTGTTTATCAAATCTTTTTATCAGAAGATATGATAACAATTACAATTACAGAGAGATATGAGGGGTTAAAAAGAGATAATATGCTCAAAAAGCTCTAAAATGTGGAAAACTGGAGATTTACACCTCATGATTATTTTTGAATAAGGCCTCAGCCACAGTTGATAGCATCACATTCAAAGAAAATATTGTTTCGCGTTTCTGCGAGATTGCAGGTTGTGTTTAAATATACTGAGAGCAACTCCCAGTAAAGCTGGTATTGACTCTTATAAACTACATCAATAGGTTTCATGAAATAGTCAAGTTATACTGCATGACAGGGGCACTGTGTCGTCCAATGTAATAAGGCCATGGATCCCTGTGGTGACACAGTACAAGAACAGTGCAGAAATAATGGTGCACAATATCACTGTAACACAGTATTCTGACATTCTGACATTTATAAAGCAGTTTTTTGGTGCTACAGTAAAAATTGAGCTCACTTATCCCTCAAAGTTTAAACCCATTAGGTTTTTACAGCTAAGTGAAATATAATGTTCACATTCAAAATACCAAACAAGTGACCATGACATCTCAGAGATACAATTCATAATCCAAATGATTTATTCATGACACAGGTTGAGTATAAAAACCAGTAGCACAGTGTCAAAAAATTGTTCATATACAAAATATAAAACATTAAATGTTCTAAAAAATTTAAAATTGAAATGTGAGTCATTGGCTTTGGTTTTAAGGCTTGTGTGTCATATGGCGGATGACAGTTTGGTGGTGCAATGTTTACCCGGGAGACGCGTGTTCACAGAGACACTTCTGGCAGAGGCAGCGACTCATCTGCAACACAGTGGGCTCAGCAGCCTGACTTGCACTCTGCAGGACGGAGTAAACTGACACTTAGGCTGCACGAGAGGAGCAGTGAGCCCTGACGTCTGTGAACCAAAAGCTGGTCACTCTGGTGATCCGTCAGTTTCAGATTCAGTCACACTGTTGCAAATAACAACAAATATACAGGTCAAATGTGTGGATTCTATAGTAAAATTTGAAAAAATAAATTCAGTTTGATAATTGGCCGAGGGTTTGCTTTCAAAAAGCAAATCTCACACTTGATTTACTGTACATGTGCTAATAAATGCACATATCTGATATATAAACATTAGAAAATATGGATGACTCAGGCTGTATTTTCTAAGTCAATTATTTAGGTGTGGACCAACCAGCCAGAGCATTACATCATCCCAGTGCAACCACTCTACATTGAGGACCTCTGCTGGTGGAAAAACATAGTGAATTAAATGTAAAACACATGCGGGTGATGCAGTACATTCAGCATCACTGCTGCGCAACATGGCCTCATTTTTTTAGACCATTCTGCTACACTGCAGACAGAGGGAGCTAGTTGCACGGTTTTAAATATGAAACAGTACCACTGTAATTTGGGAAAACACTGTACTGCATGAGTAGAGCATTTGTGAGCATTTAATAATAAAATATAATTAAAAAACGTAAAAAAGTGCCAATAATAATCTCTCAAAGCTTGCTGGAATCAAAGTGATGCATAGACATATCTATATAGTCTTTAGGTATTGCTAATGGCAAACATTCAGCTCTGCTTTAAAGAGGCAGACAAGACCAGCTTATGTTTGCAGTCCGGCAGCAGCAATCAAAATGCTTGAGTTTAAAATATGAAATAATACCCACAGTAGCTACATTTGAATATTAGTCACAATATAGAAATAAAAAAATCAGAGTTAATATGAAAATGTGGATATTCCCGCTCTAATGTGACACCCAGACTAAAATTATGACTTTATTTTAATAAAATTACAACTTTATTCTCGAAATCTCAAGATTTGTTTCCCTTGAAGTGTCCCTGATACTCCATTGTATGATGTTAACACTGATTTTCGAAGAAATTAATTTCTGATTTAGATACAGAAATACTGAGAAGTTATTGGGTAATAGGGACTAGAAATAAAAGTAAGTTAAAGAAACAGAGTTGGACCTGCAACATGAACTTTGGTTTGAAAAAATATGGAATAAGTAAAATCGGAGAAGGCTACAGTTTCTCGAAAGCTTTTTTACAGACATGCATCTGTTACTGAGAAGCAGCATCAATGTGTAACACAGTTTGAAGGAGAAGCAGATGTTGAGTTCACGACCTTTTAAAAGTTTCCCTGATAAAGATTGGATTGGAAAAAAGAAAACGCTAAAGAGACATGCAGAGACTTTGTGAACAGACGGAGAAAGCTAGAAAAAGATTTAGTGCTGCCTCAGCCACTCATGGAACATAAACAAATAAAAAAATTACTGCGTAGCTTAATTACGAAACCTGGTTAACAATTGCTTTCATTTGTTACATATGATTACATTATAAAGTGTGCATCTGAGCATGAGTCGTAAACAGAGGTTTGTCTTTGGTCCGTGTTTGCTGATACGTTGATGTGAGCAGAGACCTGGGCATCTTCTCATGTGACACAATGTTTGCCAAAGAAATTTAGAGGCCGCAGACCCTGATCTGTTGATATCGGTTACACCATGAAATGCATGTGTCCTTCAGCACCTGTAACAATAACATCCATCCAGATACGCATGGCCTCGGGGGACGGAGCCACCATGTAGTACACCCGATCGTGGGTCTTCACACTGAACGTCAGCGAGGGGTTGGGGCTCTTGGGTGTGGACGTGAATGTCATTTTGAGGAAAGAAATAAGTGAAATGATGAAGAATAAAGGGGAGAGGGATGAGGTGATGTGTGTGGGGGCGGGAGAAAAGCAGAAGACACGCAGACGTCAACGGTTTTCAAGGAAATTTGTGCATGTGTGGACGATGCCACATGTTAAAAAAAATCACAGACATGCACACACACATGCACATAAATTGACTTACCTTGTGTGCATTCTTTAAATGGTCGTAGTACACCTCTTCTATGGCTTGGAAGTAAATGACACCTTTCATCTTGGTCTCATGTTTGTCTGCAGCAGGGAATATAAACACAATTTAAATGGGATCAAAGGATCCAGGCCTAACCACATGGTTGAAAGGAGGAGATGCTCACCTGCATAGTAGGTGAGTGTCCTGCGATTCTGGTCGAAGACAAACCAGCGTTTCTTCCAGGTCTTTATCTTGCCGCCCATTTTGACCAAGAAGCCTCGACAGGTTTTATCAGTGATGGCCAGATGGAAGCAGGCGTCTGGGTTATGTCCAGCTGCCTCGATGTGGCCGTGAAGATCAAAGTCGTCTTTCCGCACAGGGAGGTAGCGCGTCAACAGCCGGGACTGTGGGAACAAGCAGTAAAATTAGATAACACATGTAAACATTGTGCACTGCTCAGTTTTAAGAGTATTTACACGAAGCCAAGAGTAAAACTATCAGATCTGAATGTCTTCTGAATACCTGTGATCGTTGTTTCTCTCTGTACTTCACTTCTCTCTCCACAAGTTTCTGTCTCCTGCTCGTCTCCTCCTGCAGTCGCTTCTCCAGTTCCTCCCTCCTTCGTCGCTCCTCATCCAGAGCCTGCCTGCGCATCTCCATCTCACGCTCCTGCACATGCCACATAGGAATAAAACTATGTCCATATTTAAACAAACATACACATCTACATAAATAAATATATCTATATACAGGACGTTTTGGTTATTTTGAAACATTACCCGATGCTCGAGGAGTCTCAGCTTCTCAGACTGGGCCTCTCGCAGTAAACGCTCCATCTCCTCAATCTTGGCCATGTTGTTGGTACTCGCACTGACAGGAAATGGAAAATACAAATCATCAAGTGCAAAGAAGATTTCTGAAACGTAAAGTATATCATAAGTTAAAACAAATGAAAAGTGGGTGACAAAAACCATTGTGATAAACAAGCAAAAATAAAAATGAGACTATGTAAATAAACTCAACTGATACTAGAATGTGTCACTAGGTGGAGCGCAAACCACTCAACAGTGTGGCCCAACAGTTCCCTGCACTACAGTTCACCAATCCAGGGTTTCCCTGCACCCTTCCACCAAGTTTTGTGGTAGTTTTTCTATAATCTCACTAACTAAGACGAACACAAACTAACCAAAAACATCACCTCCATGGCTGAGGAAAAAATAAAATGGATATAAAGATATTTCAGATCATTGTGTAAATTTGAAGGAAAAAAGCTGATGAGGTAAAACTTCTTAAACATGTGTTAGCATTTCCACCTTCATGAACCGCTTTCACAAAGGTAGTGACAGAATTTTCGTATGTGTATGTAACTGTCTCCTCTTTCTATTTGCTCCTCTGAACATCTCTCCTAAATGATCTCTTCAGCCTTTATTCTCTCTCTCCTTTAGATTGACTTCTTCTGTGATGGTAAAACTCCTCTACATCTGATTAACACATATCTGCTTTGTCCAAAGAAAATGTCCTCCGTACGTTACTGTGGTTCGTCGCCTCTAACCTGGAGATGTTGTCCGGGGAGCAGGCAGAGAAGCTGGTCTCTAGGCTGTCGGAGCTGTCCACACTGACCGTATCTGAGGCCTGGCTGTGGTCAGGGTAAGAGAAGGAGTCCAGGAACACGTTGGGCTCACACATCATCCTGCTGCAAAAATCACTTCTCTTCTGTCTGTCTTCATTCATGTGTGCATGGCTGTTGCCTGCTGACAGAAGAAAATATCACTGCCACAAAGTGGAAATACCCTCAGCATGCAAGATCTTATTAAATCACAGCAACAGAGCTGCAGTTCATTAACTAGTTGGCCAAGTGAGATGACGTCTCTTCATTATAATTTCATTATTATAATCAGTCTGCAGGAACTAGAGCAAGTAACAGTGATGCAACAAGCTGAATAAAGACAAAGACATTTCATTTGAATCAACATGATGTTAACAGAGCAGGTTAGAGAAAGACAGAATGTAGTTTCTCAATATTAACTGTGTTATTAGAATTGTTCCATTCAAATAAAAAAAGAAAAAAGAAATAAACTAAGGCACCCTTGATGTGAAAGACAAAAAAGCATTTTCTTCACCCCAATGAAGACCAGTGTGCTGCAACATATAGAATTTTTTTTACGTCCACCAAGGAGGTTATGTTTCCATGTCTGTTGGTTTGTTCATAAGAACATATTCTTCTCAAATATAGTATTTATCAAAATGCTTTTTGTGGGTGATCACTTCTGATCACATTATTTACGATTATTTCATTCAGCTGCAACATGCACCTTCACCACTAGATGTCACTAAATTCTACACACTGAACCTTTAACACAAACATTTAGTCCTTGATGCTGTAGATTCAAACTAAACGCATCTTGTTCTGTGCCCCAGATTAATGCATCAGGAAAGTATTTCCTGTGATTCATGCATATAGCCTGAAGCATAAAGCTGTAAAGATTTGATTCAGACGAGATTCGACAGTCTGGTGCTCTGACTCACTCTTGGGAAGGCGGCGGGTAATCAGGTCGCGGGTGGAGAAAGTGAAGCCTGGAGCGATCACACTGCCGCAGCTGGAGCTCTGGGCCAGGGGCAGGTGAACCTGGAGGAGGAAACGGCAGCAGACATTACGATCTGAAGCAGGCTCTGCAAAAATCACACATCTGCAAACTTGTCTCATAGTACGTCATGTCATGAGCTGGATGGGTGTTTACTAAGACTAACTGAGGAGAGTTTGGGTGGATCATCCTCTGGGGACACAACCCAGCTTTAAAATCTGTAATATAATTCTTAGTGTAAGGCCTCAGACATAGTATTACAGTGTAGGCTTTAAATTAGACAAAAATACTAATAGTTTTTCAAATTGTTAAAAGATAAAATGCATTTAATCACACTTGAAACACTCAGTTCAAAACCTACAGAAACTAATCTTCCACGTCTGCTCACATTACTTTTGGAAAAAAAGTAATAACCTTGGGAGGAAGTGTGCGTCCCAGTGATCGGCCATAAGGCGTGGGGAGCTGCTGGCTCCTCTTGTGAGGTAGGCTGTCACTCGGGTGGGAAGAGTTTCCATTGCTGCTTCTCCTCCTTTCCTTCAGAGACTGCAAGTGCTGCAGAAATCACAAAATAAAAACAACAGGGTTTCTCCTCAGAGACTTAAAAATGTGATAATCCTCTCTGTGAGGAACTTCATTTCAAGAGAAAGAGGAGCTCTCTGCTGGTGGATATATTAAGTATGGTAACTGTAACTGACTCCTACCTCTTTGATGGCTACCGGGACGTTAGTGAAGCTCTGCCCCTCAGACAACTCTGCATACTTTCCTTCCAAAGACACCAGTTTGTCTCTCTCCTGCAGACGTCGGGATATGGTCTTTAAATTATTATTATTATCATTGAATATTGATCGTTTCAGCAGGCAAAGACTTTTCTTACCTTCTGCAGCATGATGAGCAAATTGTTTTTCTCTCTCTGGAAGTTCTCTCTTTCTTGCTGAGCCTGTAAGGTGATCTGTGACGACTGTTTCTTCAGGGTCATGAGCCGCTCCTATGAGTAAAAAACCCATAGCAACACAGTAAAAAATAAAGCTACCCTCAAAAAGTACAGTATGCTATGCAGAGGTGTTTTATTTTGAGGCATCAGCAGCATGTCTCAGTAAATGATCATATTGTGACGTGAAAATTCAGCTCTGATGAGATTTTACTTTTCCAAAAACTACATTGTTTTTACACGGAATCATAAAGTCTTTACCATTTCTGCCCTCTCTCTACCCTGTGGTTTTACCCTCCATCGAAAATGTACCTTGCGTGTGACAGTAAGACGCTGACACTCAGCAATCTCTCGCAGCAGCTCTTGGCTCCGATTCTCTTTTTCCTCGTCTTGATTGATTTCACTCTCCAACTTCTGAAACTCCAGATCCTCCAAACTTTTTATCTGCTCCTTAGCTTCCTGAGAAAGCCACAGACACACACAAACACACGATACTTCAAATACAAAGTAAAAGTACATAATTAGATGAGCATATTCTGTTTAAAAATTACATGTTGCACTAACGGAAGATCCATTCATGTAAAATAGTGTTTTAAAGATTTAATGCTGATGAATGCAGGATTTAAACATTTGACCATCTGCTATCAGAGCGATGTTAACTAGATTATTTATTATGGACAATGTTACAGGTGTTAAACTTGTTAGACTTTTTAAAATGTGAGTGATGTGAGGTTTCAGGGGATTTCAGGTTTTCCAAATTGGAGTCAGATGTGCTAATATAATATATATTATTTTTTACACATGGTAATTATCTGGGCCCCTTCCTAAATGTGGGTCTGAGGGACACGAGGGCCGAAACAGAAGCTGTGAATGAGAAGAACGACATGTGAGACGAGAAGTAACGCGATCCAGGATTACAGAGAACAAGGTCAGGGAGGATAATAGACGTGCAAAAAGAAACAAATAAGAAAGAAGAAAAAAAAACATTGCAGATGAGAAAAACTGAACAGAGATGTTTTTATATCTCTGTTTATTATGTTATATAAATCCTTTTAATACATTATACAACAACAATGTACATGGAAAAGCTTTTTTTTTTTAAACAAAAAGTTATTGCTTAATATTATAGTATGTGAATGGTGGTAAATATGGATTGAAGGTCATGGTGCTGCAATCTACATTTTGAAATCTACACTCTTTGTTTATAGTGTTAAAATACAAGTTCAAATGCATGGTATTCATTTTAATTTGGCATGTTGAGGGGACAGGAATGGGGGCCGGAGGCTGGGGGGGTTGTGGTGCGCCTGTCCCACAGTTAGAAACCCTATACTTTCCTCGTGTTCACAGTAATCTCCTTACTCACCTCTGACCACAGTTTGCTGATGAACAAACTAGTGAAGGGGTGAGGAGTGTTCACTTCATCTAAACCTCGTCCCCAGACTTTACCCGTGACTTGTACTTTTGTACCATTTTACAGTCTTACCTGTGACTTCTGAGTGTGGCTCGTCTTCTCAACACTATGGATCTTTTCCTTCAGCTGGTCCAGAAGCTCTTTTTCCCTCTGAAGCTGACACATCTCCGACTCCTGCTCCCCTTCCAGCAGAGCGCACTCCACCTCCATCTGCAGGAAACATCAGCGAAACGTCTGGATTCATTTCATTCTGAGCCTTTAGTGCATTTCTGATGACTGCCTCCATCAGTAACTCCACAGTGAATATAAGCTGCTCTTAAGCTTAACTTTTATTTACTTCAGTGATAAACTATCAATAAATCATTGGTTCATCTCACAATACATTTGAAAAAACACTTAACAGATGTTAGGTGTTTATGACTGCTCGGTGATGTTTACCTCTCGGACAGACTCCTCCATCTGGTTGTCCAGGTCCTTGATCTTCTGCTCCAGCTCCTCAATGTTGTTCAGAACCTGAATCCTCTCTTCCTCTATTTGCGTCACTTCCTGTTTCAGTTGCACACTCTCCAAGGCCTGCAGCGACATCAGGAATGCATATAAACGCTTGGCCCTTTAACAGGCTACACATTTTGCAATATAAGCAAACCTAGAAATGCAAAAATCCCTGTCGCAAAGTTGGCAGGAGCATCTTTTGGTGATTTTATGTTTAAAATGTATAGTTTTCATTGCAAGAAAAAAAATCTACTCTCTAAAATACTGTATGTTGTTAATTATTCGCCAGCTAGTAGGATCAGTTTTTCTTGAATGAGACAACAGCTGCTGCAGTTCCGTCTCATCAGAAGTTGGATCCCTGACAACAGGATTCTTTTCTACTTGCTGTAATGGAAATCTCTATCATAGCACTCCAGTCACTGCCAGTCATGCCACAGCACTCCCACGTTTTGCTGCATCTTTCAGTGTTCCTCATTCATACTCATCCATTTGTATACCTAATACAGCCTGTGTATCAGGTAATAGTCCTTAAAAAAGCCAAGAGGATTTTTCAGAGGCTCATGTGGTCGGCATGTCGAGGATTTACAGTTTCCCAGACGGGCTCTGAACTCTTTCTTCCTGTGCAAATGGCTCTGAGGAATGCAAGAGATGCATGGTGCATATCTGGAGCCTGTAAACCTCTGTCACAACTGCCACACTGCAGAAAGTGGGTCTTAACAACGATCTAATTTTCAAAAACTATAAGAGTGTTCGGCAATTCTATCTTTCACATAAAGACTTGTTAGAAACCTGTGTCGATACATTACATTTTCACAAGGTCTTGTATCATTTTACCTCAGAATAAAGCTCTAGACATCTGGAAAAACACATCTTTGCCCTGCATATACACTTTTACCCACACAGACACTCCCGCACACAGACATGCATGCGCACACACACGCACGCACACTAATTCTCCGTGGGATAAAGTCATTTCCTGCCCCCCCTCCTTTAAGAGTCTGGATGGTTGAGTGCTGAAACAAAACGAGGACTTCTTCATTAAAACCAGACGCACCATTAGGTTGTTACTGCTCTAGAGGGGGAAAAAAAGATAAAGGCACTAGGACTCAGACAGCGGAGGAGGCGTCCTGGTTGGAACCTCGACACAGTATTCAATACAGTTTTAGAATATTTATGTTTGTAAACGAAACATGTCCATTCATTTCTCTGGGGAAGAAAAGCTAAGGTCAATCCTTGTAACGTCAAAGCTGTGAGGAGGTCTTGTGAAACTGATTTCTCTGTTTGTGTGTCTGAACAATCCACATAAACAGGAAATATACTAATTGCAGACTGCACACACTTGACAGAGCATCAAAAGAACCTGGTGATTTCGAACAATCTACCACATTCAAGTTTTTGTGTGATGAAGAATACAGAGGAAGGCAAACCTCATGCCATAGACGTGCAGTCATTATGACTCAGAACATGCAACACGTTTCCACTTTTCATCACAACAAAACCATTTTAAAAGACCAAATTCATTATTGTGCAAGGGAGGATTATTTAAAATTTCATCATTTGAATCACATTAAACCATTTAACCCTAAAATTTAATGAGAAAATGTTTGCACTAACTAAAAAATGCAACATTCTACACCCCTTCAACCTAATTTTGTTCCTATATAGTTACACATCAGGTCATTCTAAAAACAATCTCCACTAGATTGTAAGATTGAGTTCGGTGGAGAGGAAGATTCAAATTAACCTGGACATGGAAAGAATTTACCCTGGCCAAAAGGTAAACAACAAGATGAACAAGCAATCAGCAGTCTGATAAACTGCATTCCAGAGCAGGGGTGTGACTCCTTAGTCTTCAACACATCCGGGTCCTCTCTTCATTTAATGAGATACTGACGGAGGAGTCGAGGAAATGAATTTTAAAAAGAACATGACGTGGACAGAGAGGAGATCTTTAAAAAGTTCAGACCATTGACTTAAAATAAAGATGAACGACATAACAGCCCCCCAGAAGTGATGCAAAATCATTTTGATCACCCCCTAGTGGATGGTTCAGGTGTATATCATGATTAACAGTTGAGACTGACTCAGGATTGGTTGAGTGTGTGTATTGACAGGATCTCCATCACCTCCATCATCAGTTTCACCTCCAGTTTCTGGCTCCAAATGAAGCACAAGATGGCGGCGCCCATGTCTGTGATGTTTTAGCTATATTTTTGAACAACAGGAGGTGTCTGGAATGCGTCGGCCATCTTTCTAGACGGGCAATGATGAGGACTTACTTTGACTCTATGGTTGGTGGAGGGTGAAGGGGCACTGCTGTTCAGACTGACGGCCGGTGAGTGGGATCTGGCCTCTTTGTAGCCGCTCTGCTGACGCTGGGTAACCTGCTGCTCATCAGAGAACTGGAAATCTCTGGTTTTGGCCCCAAAGCAGCTGTCGGGAGCCGTGCTGCCGGGAGAGTCCGAGAACACCGACTCCTCATCCGACACCTGCAGCTTCTCCAACTCCTTGTTGATCTTCTGCAGGTCAGACACAGCTGAACCTGCTGGCTCCCTCTCCACCTGACCCATATCAGTGCACAGGTTCAAAATGGTCTCTAGACGCTGGCATTCCTGCAGAGAAGAGATTCATTATTACATATTTAGCTTATTTTACTCTTAACTTTCACACAAGGTGTTAATAGACTGATAAAGTAAGATAAAAGTGTACAGACCATGGTCAAAAAGAAGCTTACCAATCTCTGCACTTTCTGCTCCCTGAGGCGCTCATCTCTCTGGTGCTGGTGATAATCTCTCAGCTCCTCTTTGCCATTCAAAGAGCTGATGCTGCCCACCCTCTGTCCTGGACCCAGCCCGCCCTTCCCAAAGGACAACCTCCTCTCTCCAAAGCTTAGATCTAAACCTGTGCCATCGATCTCTACACCCAGAGAGCTCAGAGAGGCTAGACTGGCCCTCCTGGGAGTGCTGGGCATGCTGGCTGGGACAGTCACATCTGGTGGCTGCTCCAGGGAGGAGAGACTGCGTCGAGCCCCAGCTGAGCCCACTCCTCTGTGGGAACCCACTGAGTGACGTGATGGAAGTGACAGAGCTGGGGGCTCCGCACTGTGAAGCCGTGGCAGAGAACGACTGTGCATCCCCAGGCTGTTGAGGGAGCCAGTGGAGTATTTTCTCTGCCGGGAGTCTCCTCCAGCCTTGCCCTGAGAATAGGGCCTGCGGCCCATGCGAGGGCTGGACGGCATACTGGCTGCTCCACTTTTGACCCTGGGAGAACGAAGAAGGGGCTCCCCATAAGAGGAGAGAAGAGAGCTTCCTTCTGTTGCATTAGAGAGGAGCAGGCTGTCTTGAGACTGGTGGCGAGGGTGGGAATGACGGATGAAGCCGTTAGAGCTAAGCTGGCGATCGCCCTGACGAGGTGATGGAGGCACACTGCTGCTGGTCATGTAGGAGAAGTTTCTAGAGGCAGACGGAGGGCGATCGGTATTACTGAGGATGGAAAGTGTCCTTGTGGATTGGGGTCCAACAGGTGAGGGTACACTAAGGTACTTGCGGCTGCACTCTGCTGCTCTCAGACTGGCCTCCAGAGCACTTTTCCTGCGCTGCAGGGTCTCCATCAGTTCCTGTAGCTCTGCCTTAGAACGAGAGCCCCTCAGCAACGTCCCACCCACAGAGCCATTACTGCTGTGTTCAATCTTCACACAGTCTGTAGAAATGAGAAAGTTTGACACAGCATGACATCCAGTCTGTTTTTGGACTATATAATACACCTAGGTTTAATGTAACTTCTCTAATAAGCAGCAGCTCAGCCAGGAGAAGTGCTAACACACTTGTGCTGAGTAAGGGGGGGAAACCAGGGAAGAATGTAGGCTCGTACAGTTCTGAGCCCAATACAAACACAGGCTCAATCAGCGGTTAGGCTTCTTCTAAAAATGGAAGAATGCTCGTCGACCAAGACAGCCCAGAATGCATCATAGTCTCGACTGTGAGAGAAAGCCAGGGGACACCCATATATCTTGCCCCGAGTCATGGGTGGCTGAACACCTGAACAAATGTAAATACAGAGGTCATGTGATATTACAGAATGCACCTCCTTTGTCATTTAAACCTCTATCACTTATTTGGGTTTTATGAATTAATTCTAGGCCAGAGCTAAATATATAAAATTTACATTTTTGATTATAAACTTCAGATCTCAATTTCTGTTGATGAAAACAAAGGGATAAAGCTTGTGTCCTCCTTTGTCTACACACAAATACCTTTAGTGACTGTGTTCTTCATTTAAAGCTAAACTTCTCAGCATTCCAACATACAGAACAGAAACCTGTTTCAAGTGTCAAATTTGCAGACCTACAAGTCTTGAATGAAAGAACAGCTAAAGAAAGAGCTGTTCTGACTCCCAGGTTAGAGACAGTTATCCAGATGAACCTGCTTCACAGAGCACCTACTGTACGTAACTAATTCTGGCTTTCATAATGTGAGACAGCTAAAAGGATCTTGTTTACTGTCATTCAGTCGAACAAAGGTTCAGGATAGATTTGATTTAAGGCCAAAGGGATATGGAAACATATGCTAGATGTGGAATATCAAATGTTTTATTGCAGATTTTATCATGAGATTCACATTTTAAGTGAACAGTATCAAAAATGAATCTCAATATCAAAATTAGAATGGTACTCAATAGAGCACACTCCTCTATCACGGCCCAAGAATCCCTCAAATTTAATCAAGCACCCCGAACTTTCAGACAATGTAGATATCAGTTCCCTAAATGTGCCAGATTTTTGTCATTAAGATCCATAAATCATTTCCTGGGAAATCAGTGCACGTATTGAAAAGTGCCCAGTCTCACAATGTCTGACATTAAGAAATATTCCTGGATCTGCACCAAAGTTGAATGGGTTCTTCTCTGACCCATACCACATCCTTCAGTTTTGTGGAAATTTTTTGTGTGTAATCTTGCTCACAAACATACAAATCATCCAAAAACAAATGATCAGGGGTGATTACATAACTTCCATGACAGATGTAATAACACCAACAAAAACCTTTCTTACCCGAGCTGTAGCCCAGCGTGGCGACGGCGCTCCTCTGAGGGAGCATGCTGTTCATCACACTGACCTCCTCATTCACTCTGAAGAAGCAGGATTCAGCTGGGACCTGTGAGCTTAGTTCTCTGAGGAGGAGAAAGGGGAGAGAATCTGTTTAAATACTGTGTGTAAAAATCAGTTTTCCTCCTTACTACCCTGCACTAGTATTCCTGTAAACTCCTCTTCCAATCTAGAACTCAAAGTTGTGACGAGGACATTACAGGAAGTTGAATCCATGACTTGTGGTCCCTCGACTTATCCTTCCAACTCTCTGCACAACAATGCCTCAATTCAAGCAGATATTTCAGATGTGCATATTTAAGTGCAAATGAAAAAAAAAAAAAGTTTCCAAAAAACTGAGTAGGAAAACAGATCCAGAGAAAGGTTTTTAATGTCTGGCTCAGTGTTACCAATAAAAACGGAGTCTGTAAAGCAGAACTCAAGCTCTTGGTCCAGAAATCCTGACCAGTCCTCCAAAGTATCCCTCAGAGACCCAGACTCACTGAGGCAGCAGCTACAGTTAGAGGCTGAGGACCTGAGATGTCGAGCACCTCATGTAAGAATCATCAGTGCTTTGACAATCATTAGTAAACAGTAAAATACCGAATTATTTTTGCAGGTTGCAGTTTTTTGCAGCTTCAGTTGCTTCCTTTCCACCGTCATTTTACATTAAATATGACTTGTGACTAAGGAAGCGGTTTTAAGAAAAAAGGTTTTAATTTTTAATTGATCAACACATCAGAAAGATAATAAATAAATAAAATGACTTATTATATATTAAATAGCTTTTCCCAGTGAAGATGTTGAGCGGCAAGCATAAGAAAAAGTCTCTCCTCTAAGAAAAGAGAGGAAGGCTAAAAGAAATAAATACATCAAATAAAACTCAATAAAAATACATCTTTGGGTCGCCACACCAGGGGATATAACAGAAAAATCACAAGGAGTGATGGTGTGATTAGTTCCAGTGATACAGTAGATGGATTTTAAAAGTCAGATGTTACAGTTTACTGAATCCACAGAGAACACACACACACACACACAC